AGCAGCCTGGGACAGTGGGAGGTGTCTCTGCCCATGCCAGGGGTGGCACTGGATGGGCTTTTAAGGTCCCTTCCAACCTAAACCTTTCTGGGATCCTGCACGGGCCAAGCTGTAGGATTTCTCATTTCTCTCAGCTGTACCCTGCAGGCATCCTCATTTCCTGGAAGCTGAACCTCTGTGCCCTCTGCAGTGGGTGAGTGTGGGGTGGTGGTTTCTGGTTCTGTGCTGTTCCTTTTGGCTGTTTCTTGCTTCCCCCATGTCCCATCCTATCCCTTGGAGCTGCTGCAGCTGACAGCAGGCTCGGGCTGGAACTGGGAAAGAATTTCAAATCGACTTTCGTAGCTACTGAAAATGTATTTTCTTTTCCTTTAATTAGCTTCTTCCTTCTGCACCAGTGTTCCCAATCAAATGTGAATTGCTTGTACCTTGAAAGGCTCCAGAAGTGCCTTTCTTACAGTTCTGTTTGACACAGACCTTTGGATGTCTGAAAAATGAACAGGGCAGACTGGCAGCTTCAAGCTTGATTTTCTAAATACTTGTGTTTAAAGTGGAGTATTACACTGATATTTCATAACTGTTTGATGTTTTAAAAAATGTCTAATTTCTTTATTCTTGGAGTGAAGGATAAATTGCTGGGCTGTGATATAAAGCTCTAAAAGACTTTAGCAAGAACCTGAGGAGCAAATAATTGGAATATAGTTGTAGACTGTTACAATTGTAATTTGGCTTAACTAGCATTACAGTGTAAACTACTCCTGTTTTTAATAATCAGTTTTTAAAAGTTGTATTTTACTGAGGTCACATTCAGTGCAAATTCAGAAAATAAGTTTTTACAATATTGGAATTGTAGTGATAATCCACAAGGATGGTTTGGAAAGGTCAAGGCTTTAAATCCCTGAGCAGCACCTGAAATGTTCATCCAGGGAAATTTCTGCAGTGTATTTGCTGTACACTGTGCTTAGAGTGTTGTTTTTCATGCAGCATTCCCACAGAAAAATCCTGTAATAAGGAGGGGGACAGAGTTATTCACAGTAGTTTTTAAGGTGTTGTCAGAGGGCACGGGTGGGCAGTGATGGGCTGGCTCTGGGGTGGGGTTCAGGGGGCTGATGTGTGTACCCCACAAAGCCCTGCTCTGCTGCCTCTGAGGGTTTGTGTTTAATCAGGGAGTTGTCATTTATGTAGCAAGAAGATGGACTTTGCTGAAATAAATCAGGCTTAGCTCCCTGAAAGACCTGATGAGAATGCAGTGTGTCCTTCAAGCCTCCTACCATGAGAAATGGTCTGATGGAGCCAGATCATTGATGGTCTGGGGGCTGCTTCTCCTCCCCTGGGCCGGGCGAGGCTGGGCTGAGGCTGTGGGTGCTGCTGGAGCCAGGTGATTGCAGTGCCCTGCCAGCCAGGAGCCTGCTCAGCACCACAGCCCTTCCCTGCCAGGGCACCTACAGCCTGATTAATGTGCCCAACAGAAAGAAAACAAATGGAATTTTTTTAGATTATACAGTACACTCATAAATATTAATACACTTTTGTATTGAATTGCATGTAATTACATATTTATACATTTAAGTCACCTTCCTGATACACTTAAGGCACTTTACTGATGAAAGATATCTCTGAAAGAGAAGGTTTTAAACTGTGCCTAATATGTTTGTAGGATTTACTGAATAATGTGTGGGCTTGTATGCTGGCAGGAGAGGAGAAAAACCTCCATTAGAGACTGAAAGTGTTCCTGGGGTCTGCTGCTCAGGCTGAATCCACTCCATGGGTAGCTGCTGAAAAATCTGTCTCGACATGAAATATTGCTACATCTTCTTATCTATGTAGATAAGGTCTGTGCAGTCCTGTCACCTTAGAGTAATTACAGCTTATTACTCTAATCATGATGATGCCTGAAGACTGTAATTAAGATTGTGCTGGCTAATGTACTAGCACGTGGCATGGTACAGCTATTGTCCTATCTAAACAAGGCAAAGATAAAAATGGGATGAGGGAGAAAGGGCAGAAGTGGGGAAGTGATTTATGCAGGGCCGTGGTTCCCAGCCAAGCACTGCTGCCTCCACAGAGCCTGCGGCTCCACAGGGCACAGTCTGAGACAATCCCAGGCAGCTTGCACCTCAAACACCAGGAGAACACTGGGAGAGCTCTATTCAAGCTACTTTTAATGCATCTTGTCCACCTGTGTCTAAGTTTTATTCTTTTATCATGTCCTCTTGCATGTCCTCATCTAGTCTGCGGATGAAGAATTCAGCACACGTTTCTATGCACACGTTTATTTTCAGGCCAAGTCGTGTCTCTCTTGAAATCCATGAGAGCTCTACCCCACAGGTCCCTCACAAAGGGTTTGATCCCCAGTGTTCTGTAATTTCCCCACAGTGGTTTCAGCTGCTGAAGAGCAGACAGCTCTTCTGGAGGAACAGCCTTGTCCAAACACCAATCCTTATGGCTAAATTTCACAGCAAGCCCACCCACCAAACAGGATTTAAGGTCCCTTTCACAAGTTAGGCACGTCTGGAGCTCCTTGGTGTCTTTTTGCTTTGAGCAGAAGAGGAATATTCCTTAATTTTGAACCCTCCTGCCAATCCTTCCTTCTGCGTTGGAAGGTGCCTTTCCATCCAGGCTGGGGAAGGCTTTGTGGATTTGGTGTCACTCATCTTGCCACAGGTGTATGAGCAGATTCCTTCCTCCCAGTTCTCCTGGGCTCCAGGTTCTTTAGGTGCATCTGACAATTTGTGAAGCCTCATGCAATTGTCTGGCACAGGCTCTGAGGAAGGGTCATCCCAGGTACCTCCAGTGATCTGCTGAGTCTGACCCATCTCCCACCCCCCTTAAAGCTAATAGGAACCAGTTATTTCTTGATGGAAGTGCCTGGCCCCTTCAGACATTTTATAAGCTTTTGGAAGTCTGCCACTGTTTCATTTAGATCACTCACAGCTGGGAGAAAAATCCCACAAAGGCTACTTAGTCATTAGAAAGTTTCCCCTTTGTTCACTCCTTTCTCATTTACAGTGAATCCTCTTGAATAGCATTTGTATCTACAAACATGAGCTCTGTGTTTTAACAGAGGTCTTTGCTGTTATAATGTTCTACTCATAAAACACTGGATTTTTTTATGCTGACCTGAAAAAAGAATTGTTAGCAGCATGATAGCTATCCTAAGTTACAAATCAGTTCTAACATAAAATATCTGCTGTTTTATAACATGTCCTTGCTGTCCAGGAGGTCCAGATATGTTTGTGGATGCTGTAGTTTTATGAAGCTGTTGATGGGGAGCACTGGTGAAATGGTTACTGCACCTGAGAATTTGCCTTCCTGCATTTATGGTGTGCAGCAAAACCTAAAACCTTCCTGGGAAGGGAGGCAGAAGGTGTGCTGAGAAAAAAAAAGGGATTGTTCCTGCTTTTAATTTCTTTGGGCAGCTTCACAGGATGCCTGTGCTTGTGCACAAGGAGATCCCATAGCATTTTAGGGAGATCAGTGCTAATCCTGAGCTCTTTTTCAGTAGGGGCAGGGAGGGACCAGAGAGCAGACACAGGAGGTTTCTTAAATTACTAATCCTGTGTTGTAGCTAAGGATGCTCCAGTTCTCTTTCATGAGGTTCAATAAGGCTCCTAACTTCTTGGATAGGAATAACACTGAGGAGAAAAACCCTGGGAAAAGTCCTGTGGTGTCTTAGGTGATGAAAAGGTAGAAAAAAATATCTTACAGCTTCTGTTCAGTACTCCCATCTTTAATGCCTGTAAAATCATTCTCTTTGCTAAATATCAAATTTGAACAATGACTGTCTTCAGTTTAATTAATCATCTCATTGGTTTCAGTTATGAATTTTGTGACGCTCTTGTGTTTTAGAGAGTCATTTAGGGAGCAGTCTTTAATTAAAGCCAAACTGCTTTTTGCCTTTAGGCATGTTTTTTTGCATAAAAAGGTGCCATCATTTGAATTATATTCTCCTGAGCCTCAGTCTTTATGTGACACGGGGGCCAATAGCCCTTTCTGCTGTCAGTTATAATATTAAGTGACTGCAGGCAACAGCTGAAAGGCTCACAAGATCACCCAGCACCTTGTGGTGGGCACGGCAGCTTCTGGCCAGGGCAGGCAGAGAGTGCTGAAAGCACAGCCCTGCTTCAGTGCCCTCCCCTGCCAGGGCAGCACCAGACCCCACCGAGGGCAGCTCTAGAGCAGATGTGACTCAGCACATTGCATTTATTGGATGCAGGATCTGCACTGTAATTAACATCTTCTCAATAGCTTCTCATTCGTCTCTCCTAATGAATTCTCCAGCCTCCTCTTCCTCTGCCTGTAATTCTGTGCTGTTGAAAAAGATTAGTTTCAAGTAGCATTTATCTGAAATGAAAATAGGGATTCTGTGTGTTGCAGGTTATTTGTAAGAAAACAGCTGTGGGCTAAGTGACACAACTCACATTTGTGTTACAAGAGTGGAGTATTTTTTATAGACAGACATTGATTCTGGGGGTTAAAGGGTCAGTGACAAACTTTTCAAATACAAGATGCTTTTTTCGTGCACTTTTCACCCCTCTCCCTGAGAGTTGGAAATCTACTGCTTAAGTCAGGCTTGAGGGAAGCATGCCCTGCAGTCAATGGAGATTCATTGGCCCTAATTGGATTTAGGTCAGCTCGTGCCTTGGCTTCTCAAATACAAGAAATAATAAGAATAAATATTGAAAAGTCAAGCATTGTTTAAATCAAAGCAGATTGTTAATTTAAGCATGATAAACAAATGCTGTCTTCTAAAATGTGTGCTCTCTTGATCCATGAGATGCTTATGAGAATTGAGGTTGACTATATGGACTCTCAAGGGGGATGTGTCTCCTTCCTGCACTCACTTCGTCCTGCCAATTTTATTTAGCATTTGCCTATCTTTTGATTAAGAGGATATCAGTGAAGGGTGGGTTTGTTCCTTTGCCCTGAGAGTGCTTTGCAGGTCACCTGGAACCAAACCAGAGCTGTAGTTTGACCACGGTGTTTTTCTCCTCCCTCTGCAGAAGGACATAGCTCTGAAACCTCAGGAACGTGTGGAGAAGCGACAGAATCCTCTAGCCAAGAAGAAAAGGGAAGCACTTACCAATGGGCTGTCATACCTCCCGAAAAAGAACAGGCTCCACCACCACCAGTACAGCTCCGACCGGGAAAATGACCGAAACCTGTGCCAGCACCTTGGGAAAAGGAAGAAGTTACCCAAGGGCCTCAGACAGGTGGGAGACAAGTTTCCTGCTGCGGGGAGGGAGGGCTCTGCCCGTTGGTTCATGGTATGTAGAAGTCAATTTCTCATTTTGTGGGATTGCTTATTTTAATGCTTTTGTACTTGTTTTGTTCTTGGGTGTGATGCGGTGCAGTGTCCTACCACTGAGAGGGAGAGCAAGTGGTGCATTGATGTTGATCTGATAAAAAAATGTGTAAAAGTGAGAAGAGCTTTCCACAGGCTGGCTGTGAGCCTGTCAGGGCAAACAAATGAGGTCTTTCTGTGGTTGTGAGGCCAACTTTGTCCTGTAAAGACCACCTTGTCTTCAGGCTTTGTACACAGAAGCAGAAGAGCCCTCTGAACATCCAGGGTGAGGTGAGGCAATTGCAAGAAGGGCAGCTGTTAATCAAGGCAAAGCTGATTAGAGTGTGAGGAGCTCATTTGTGAGGTGTCAGTGGTGCTGGTGTCTGCTGCCCTGGGTTACTGATCACCCACCCTGAACAAGAATGTCTGCCTTCCAACAGTGGTGGGAGTGAGCAGGTAACAGCCAGGATTGCAAAGCTGGAGACTGAAAACATTGGATTTGTCTTCACGACTGTGCAGTGTTGTGTTTGTTGTGCTTTTTAAGGAAGAAAGCGTGACAAGTGTGATTTCTATGATGCTTATAATAGTACACAGTAGTAGTGACTAGGTCAGCTTTGCCTGTATTTGAGTGATATTAATGACTCTTCAACCAAAATTTAAACATTTAATGGGGATGGTTGATATTCATGGAATCAGTTTTCATCCTTGCTTAGTGCAGACCAAACCTTACTTTGCAGAGAAACTTGTAGCAAATAGTGAGAATTCACTGCTTCTCATTTTGTGAGTTCAGGGAGATGGAAGGAACATTGAGAATGACAAGTATGCTGAGTTGTATTCAATTTTGATATGCAGAGTTAGAGAAGCTGAGAAGAAATAGGTTTTCATGATAATTTTGAAGCCTGTATGTTAAGCTGTATACAAGAATATAGTATGAGATTATATAGTTCTTTAGCAGAGCAAAGAAATTGTAAAATGCCTGCTCCACACTATCAGCTGTTAAAGGTGTTTCTCCTGATTTAATTTTACTTGGTATTTCAAAGGAAGTTGGGGAAAACTCTTCAGGATAGTTGATGCAATGATTCCATTACCAGAAGATACTGAAGGCTGCTGTGTTTCCTTGACTGTTTCCTGTGTTCACCTCCGTGGTCTCTGTTCTGTTTTGGTCTGTCAGACTGACTGTGTGCACTGAGAACTCTGCTAGTGGGGCCTAATGCCAGATGGAATCTTTCTGCCCAGAATTTCATCTGTGAAGGAATTTGCTCTTCCTGTTGATGGAGATTATTTGTGAGGTTGTGTTTTTGGGAATGAATATGCATTGGCTTGGAAGGTATTGAGTTGACAAATATAATGGAAAATTACTTCCTTTGAGCTGATAAATTTGAGTACTCTGCCTAATTCCTAAGGCATAAGACTGAGAGGAAATAAAGTATCTTGCTCAATATAAATGTAATACATGTGGTAGGGGTAGAGCTTCTCAGGTAACATTTAAGGCTTATGAACAGTCTAGGTGCTGACAAACACATACAGCCTTGGCACTTATCATGGAAAAAAGATATCATGGAAAGGACTGCAAAGTTCTTTGGAAAGACATGCATAAGACATACAAGAGTTTTAGGTAAGCATTTTCTGACCTCTTTCAAGCCAAATGGTGAAGAGCACAAAAGAAGGAGGAGGTTGATAAGTTCTGAGCATGTTTTTTTTCAGATCATGTTACACTTTTTCTCCTGAAGTGACTCCTGGCTGCACACCTTGGGTTGCTTTGCCCACCCAGGTCCATCCCACTGAATCCCTGGGCTCCTGAAGGGGAAGTAGACAAGATTTGCTCTTCAACCTTCTCAGACAGCAGTGAGCCAAGAGCTGGAGCCACTGTGGTTCGTGTGTGACACAGCAGGAATGTCCTCAGCTAAAGGCTTCTGCATGTATACTGTGTCCTTGCTATATTAGGGCTTTATATTTGATACACAAACAATTTATCCTGCCTCTCCCGTCCCTGGGGGAATCCTGCATTGTCACCTGTGATTACTGTAACTGGATGGCAGGATGCAATCTCAGAGCTGTCACTTGCATTCCTGTGCTTGCATGAGACCTTGGCTGCTGTCTGTCCTTGCTGGGAAATGTTTTATACCTGGAGATCTCACTCATAGTTTTTCCAGTGGTTAACAGTCCTGTTGGATATGCTTTCCTGTGAAATCTGTTATCTGCTGAAAGTTACTCTCACTGCAGAATTTAGGGTATGAAGCTCCCTTGTCAAACAGATTTAGTTGAAGTCAGCTATTGAAAGCATTGCTAATTAGTTTTCAGAGAAAATCCTTTCAGTATTCATGCAGGTATTTATCCAGCTCTGCTGAAATGCCTACAGGTTTATTGAAATCCAGAAAATGTGAAACTGTAGGTTAATTAAGGCTCATATTTTAGTAGCGAGAAGACTTTTGAACTCTGCTTTGTGAGCTTTTATAAATGTACTTATTAAATGCCTCAAGGAAATTTTAGTTGGCGTTAAGCAAACATAAGACTCATCAGAATATTTCTCCAGCGTTTTAAATTTAATTTCCTTTACATTAATTGGTGATGGCATGTTTTTATGTGCTTTCTGTAAAAATCATTTGGAAATCTTAAAGTGAACATTTCTAAAGTAGTAAAAGGGTGGCAAACATTTTAAAATGGGTTTTAATGAGATTTTATTCCTTGAAGGTCTGAGCACAGTGGGGCATACCAGGAAACAATGAGCTTTCAGGGCAGGAGGGTTGAGAGTATTTTGATAATGAGGGGGAAGGACCATTTCTCTTTGTTCAGTGGGTGTGTGATTTGAAAAGAGCAGAAGACATTGACTTGTGCTACCTCCACCATTTCCTTCGCTGTTTTTCTTCATCTGGTGGGAGGTTCTCGCATGTTCTTGCAGAAGAGGATCATCTCTGGATATGCTTCTAAAGCAGCAGTGTGTGTGTTGGGCAAGGGGTGCCTTGGCTGGCTCACATGTGCACGAGAGCCAGCAGCTGCTGGGCTCTGCCTTCACCACCTGATCCAGAGACACTTCCAGAATATCACATCCCCATCCCAGATACTGCTAGAGTGCAGAGAAAGAGACAAATGGTAATAAATAGGAGGTGGATGATAAATAGAGGGAAGAAAACTCATGATGGAGAAATGAATTAGGAGGTAAATTATTATGAGATAAAGGAAAAATGGGAAGAACAGCAGCGGAAGATACACTGCTGACTCTGGCAGTCCCCAGCTACAAGTGTTATAAACCACCGGCTTTCACCTCGTGCTCCATTACATGAATCAATTAAAGGGGAGGGAGGGGAGTGCTGAAGCTGTTCCGTCTCAGAATTAAGTCCACAGTCCCCTTTGCAGCCTCACCCTGAATCTACACATCCTAAATTTGAGACTGCTGAGCCTTTGGGTGGCTGATGTGGACAGCCATCGTTGTCCCCTGCCGTTTGTCCTCTGCCATCGTCACTCGAGATCACCACGCGGTTCCCTGCGTTGATTCAGTGCCAGCACACCTCATCCCCTGGAGCAGAGGTGCCCGTGTGCCTCAGCGCAGCAAAGCAGCGGTGCAGGGGGTGAAATGCCCGTGTGGCTGCGGCTGAGCCTGCCCTGCAGCCAGGGTGGCTGGTGCAGCTCTGAGCCCTGCAGCCGGGGTGGCTGGTGCAGCTCTGAGCCCTGCAGCCGGGGTGGCTGGTGCAGCTCCCGGCCCGGTGATCAGGGTGCCTTGTGCAGCTCTGAGCCCTGCAGCCGGGGTGGCTGGTGCAGCTCCCGGCCCCGCTGCCCAGGGCTCCGGGCGCGGCGGAGGCGGCGGCAGCTCCGCGGGCTGCGTTGGCACCGCGCGGGGAGCGCAGCAGATGGGCTGGATTGTCACCGGCACTGTGATCCCGGCGAGAGCTGACTGTGCTGACAAGCGATTTACAATGTGCTATTTACAGTTTGGGTTTGCAGGCTCTCAATGACATCTGAGTGCTCTTTAGCAACTGCTTTCATTACTACTTTTCGAAGAGCTGCTAATTGAAAATGAAATTGTGGGTGGGCTCTGGGAGAGCCGTAGCAGCTACAAGGACGATACACAGCCACGGAGAAATGTTTTATTATTGGACTCCGTACTGGAGCTCTGGGCAAGGGAAGAAATGGGGATGTATTTGTGCAGTGTGAGGTCAGACACCTTGGAAATCCTGCCTACAGCACGCATTACCCGAAGTGAGTGATAAAGGCTTGGACCTCCTTGAACATAGCTGCTGGGATTTGGGATGCCTTTACTGGCAGCCGGTGGATTTCAGTGACTATAACACTTCTGAAGATCAGGAAGGAACCTGGGCTGTGAAACTACCTCGTGCAGGGCAGCGCAGGGGATCGGAAGCTATATGTGGGATTTTTGGGCTGGTTTTGCACTGCTGGAGGTCTGGCTTTTTATGAGCTGACAGGAAACATCAGAACTGACTGGTAGAATGTGGGACAAAGCCACATGCCTTGGGAGTAGGGCCAGCCAGGATCAGGTCAGCAGGGATATGGAAAGGGAGATAATGTTTCCATTCTGTATGTAAAGGGAGAAGTTGCTTGGTTCAGGGTTTTTTTCAGATTCAAGATGCTAGTGCAGCCACTCTGAAGTGAGTGGATTTGCTGTTTGTGCTGCAGCCTACATGGCATGGTTTGATCTGTGCCAGTGTTGCAAAAGTCTGAAGGCACCTACAAGTGTCACCAGCAGCAGGACCTGCAGGGGCCACTGGTTTAACAAAATTGTGTTGGTATCTTGTCACTCAAAGCACTGGTCATTAATCTAGCATATCAAGCAACATTTAATTTGGAAAATAACCAATGAATTGATGAAAAAAACCAGATTACAGCTCTGAAGGAATAGAAAGGGCCATGTCTGGGTAACTGTGCTTTGAGGTTACATCACAGCAGGAGTGGGTGCAGTAATACAGTGGGAGAAGA